AAGTACAGACAAGATTTTATTTGTTTCGACCTTGTTTCTCTGTAACATCTTCACTTTTACAAAAGCAGCAGCTCTTGTTGTGTTTGTTGGAGTTTTTGTGAGATTGTACAGGTGTGTATTTTATTGTTCTTTTTCTAGCAAGCTAATTGAAGAAAGAAAATTACCATAACTGAGTCATGTATATATATATATATATATATTTTATTACAACTACATGACCATTATTATTTGTCTGGACCTGATTCTTTCAGTTTGGCCAGCAATTCAGAAAAGATTCCTTTATGAGATTTCCCATCTGGATGAGTGATGAGCACATCCACATCTCCACACGTTGATTTGCCTCTTCGATAAGAGCCACAAGCTTGGGCTATAATTCCATCTTGAATGCTCTCAGCCGCTAGCCTTACCTTGGTTGGGGAAAAGTTAGGCAACAGAATTGAAAATGTAAAGTAGCAGATATGGTAACTGATCACTAAATTTCTTTATTGGGTTGATTCACTCAATCTATCCCTGAAAGGCAACACATTCCAATTTTTTTTTTAAATTTTTGAAGCCAGACTTTGCAGCAATGAGAAAAACCATTCACTTTAATTTTTTTTTCCCTCCCATTTTATAATGAGCCAACCCCATAAGACTGTTTCCGTTACTTCGTCATCAAACGTCGGCTTAAAAAATAGGCTAGTGAGTGAATCATGGATGGACATCAAATAGTTGCAACTAACATCCCTCCTTCTCTTGAATGAACTTTCCATGGCCAGCTTTCTTTCCTTTCTTTGTACTTTTAATTTGCAACTCACCAACCCATTTCTTTCCAAAAATCAACCCATGTGTTCTTCCATTTTTCCCTCTTTAACAGCACCTAGACTTTCATTCCTAATAAAAATTTCCTACCAGATTAAGTTTCTTTACATTACTTAATTTTTAATTTTATATTCACATTTTTGTTTTTTGAAGAAGGGGTTTGAACAGATGTGTTGTCACATCAATGTAACCATTTAAGCATCTCGAGCTTTGGCTATCCTTTTTTTTTTTACAGCTTGAGTGCACCCCCACCCCAACTCCACCTCGCACAATATTTTAAAATATTATTTTAACTGTGTCAGTGACATGATAACAGAATAAGACTTTCACAGTATAAAGCCTGATTAGCAGTAGGCCTTGCAAGCTGAAATCCAAATCAGATAAATAAATAATTTAAGGACACATTTAGTTTGAAATTTTCTTTAAGTGAAGTGGTAAGGGCTCACAAATAAGTGTTAAGGCTCAATAATAAGAGTAAGAGTAAAGACTCAAAAATAAGAGTAAAGACTCAAAAATAAGTGTAAAGGCTCATAAATAAGTGTAAAAGCTCACAAGTTTGAAATTTTCTTTAAGTGAAGTAGTAAGGGCTCACAAATAAGTGTTAAGGCTCAATAATAAGAGTAAGAGTAAAGACTCAAAAATAAGTGTAAAGGCTCATAAATAAGTGTAAAAGCTCACAAATAAGTGTAAAGGCTTACAAATAAGTGTAAAGGATCACAAATAAATATCAATTCAAATGAAAATTGTTTATTTAGGTAAATGTTGCACTATGTAGATATAGTTTCCGTTACTTTCCGTTATATATATATATGTATTTATTACAAAGTAAACCAGAGCCAGGCTTAACCCTCGAACTGTGGCATGCATCATTCTCTGGTGTGGAGCTTTTCAGAGCTTTTTGAGTGCCTTTTGAAATTGCATTAAATGACACAGAAATATTGATGCAAGACCCCAATAATTATATATTTTTAGAAAGGTAATTGGATGGGGATAAATTTGGCTATATTGACCACCCCGTAAAAATTTTTTGGCTCAGTGTCCTTGACCTTGGAGTACTCAAGAAAATAAAAATCGACAAAATGTCTTGCTTTCAATTGCTCATAACATCATTAATTTGTACACTTAAAACACAAATCTCATTGTTGTAGCCAATGCATTTATCTTTCAGAAATTGTATAGTTTGCTAAGGTTTTGATTACAATTAAACCTCTGAAAGCAATTTTAGTCATTTTAGGTCTTTTATATAAGAAACAGGGACCACAGCTAAAAGCAAGTACAAAATACAAAATCTCAGGCAAAATAGTTATTATTGACCAGTAAACATTTAAAAAGGAACTATGGAACTGATTAGGGTTGTTAAACTATAAAATTTATTAGTTCTGATCTATAATCTGTAGCTTTTGTGATTAAAATTCAGTCAGTCCTTGCCCAACCTCCGGGCCTGGTTCGAAGTCAAACAGTAGCCTCAGCAGGCCCACTTTAGTATCACTACGACTAGCATCAGATTCACAAAAAGAAGAATCTGAAGTGAAATGTCATGGGGAATATTAAAATCATCGTCATTATCACTTAAATCCTCTCCTAAAAAGCTTTCAAAATATTTATATTAGTTCTCGCACTGAAGGCCCAGCCATGGCTTCCGCCATTTTAGCTTTAAAAAAAACAGCAATATAAAATTCCGATTAAAAAGTACTTATTGTCAAATTATCAAGAAACAGCTTGACCCGGAAGTTGACTTAATTATTAATAAAAGGACGTGGCTTTGATTTCGGTTAAATATTGGATTGGAAGTTGCTATCGGACCGTGTTTTTTATCGGCCACCACAGCACAGAACGAGAATATCGGCCGATTGCGTCTGCCGACCACAGTTCGAGGGTTAAGAAGTCACTTCAATAAACCTTGTTTTTAATGGACTAAGTGATTACTTACAACTTGCTCAATCTCGGCAGCTTCTTCTCTTGGCATCCTCTCAAGAAGGTCATCATACAAGCGCACACCCACCTCCTGTTGATGATTCAAGTGTGCTTTCTGTTTTAAGTCCTCTATGCTACGAAGCCCCTTTAAATGCATCAAAGAAACAAATCATACAACCAATAAACAAATAAACAGTTGAACAATCTTTGTTTGGGCTTGAAAGACAGAACAATTAAAAGGGGATTTAGGCTAAATGGCTTCTTGAGCAGGCAATACAAAACAAGAAAAAACAAATTATTCGTAATTTTAAAAAAACTGTTTATTTAGTATGCATGTTTCTATTTTTATATATTTTATAAGCCAGTAATGGGGAGTGAAAAGGGGGGGGGGGGGGTAGGGGGGGGGGGGGGGTGTGGAAGGAGGGGGGGGGAGGAGAAGGGTCTTGGTGCAAATGGACCCATAATAGTCAATCTCAATTAAAATAATACATATCACAAAAATTTTGATGCCCAGAAATAGGATATTACATAAGTATTTTCCAAGTAATCAGTTGCATTTTTCATCTATGGTGTTTGTGAGCACCGTCCCATGATTTATTTGTACCTGCTGGTACCAAGTCTTTGCTGTGTGAGGACCAGCTCCCCAAACATTGGTAAATAGTTTCATCACATGAATCTCTTCACTTGAGTCAAATTCCTTTAGTTTTCGCAGTTCCCCACTCTGAGCTATTTCCCAAATCTTGTCAGCTAGTCGACCACCAACTCCTCTGAGAGACCTGGCCTCCTGTGAAGGTTAATATTTGAAACAAAGTAAAGAATGAAATAGACACAGATACATGCTCCTAGTAGGAGCAAATCTTCTATAAAACAACAAAATGCATTCTCAATATCGTCTTACATCTGAAATCTAAATTGACTTGATTTGTAAAATGTATATTTTTTTGCATAAAAAGTTAAATTTTTTAAGTTGCATTGACAGACATAATTATGCT